TTCCGTAAGAATATCAATTTGCACAAACGTTCGCCATGAAATGCCGTGGTTATTGGTAATTGGAATATCAGTTGGTAGTGTAAATACCAGCCGCAATTGAAATATCGCAAGTGTTGAAATTAAATTAGATTGTTCCTTAAAGTGGTATTTATTTATCGGGCTGCGCAAACGAATCTGAGGCAGCTGTTTGCCGTACATGGAGGCGGTCATTGTTTCCCAGCGTGGTTAATTGATGATCCTTCCGGCGTAACTGCCGCTAGTTACGTAATAAATTGACGTGACCGCAGGAGTTCGAGCCGGTTTTTCTTTGGTTTTCGTTACTAAAATACGTAGAACAATCTCGTTTTCCAGCGATCGATCAGAACAAGTTATGTATCGACAGCAGAAAAAAAGTGAAAATTCACTAAAAAAAAAAAAAAATGATCGAACGAGAGACTGTTTGCCCTTCGTCCTGAAAGTATTCTTAATCAGTTATATTTATAATTAATATTCCACCCTCACTTTAATCGTCGAAGGGAAACATTTTTACCATAAAATATCGTCAATCCGAGTCGAAACGAGTGATAACGTTCAACGGACGTAATCACGTGGACTATCTGAGGAAAAAACTGAAAAAGAGAAAAGAGAAAAACTGGGAAAATGTTCAATCAGCCGCAATTACACTACTCTGTTTTCAAGCTTTCCGTTCATTGTCAATTCTTTTGTGCGCGCGTAATGGATTCGTATATTCGTCTGAAAAAAAAAGAATCAATGTCCGCTCTGGATACTTCTTTCTCGGGTTCTGTCGTTACGAATTAAATCACGAGAAACTGTTCGCAAAAATTACTCGTCGCTTTCAACAAGTGGCACTTTTAAGTCTCTCAATCGCGAGCAAGGAGGTTGCCGTTCACAGTTCCGAGAATAGACGTCGGTCGGTGGGAAATTATGTATGCGTTCGGTAGGAGTTTGCAACTGATTGCCAACACGCTTATATTTGCTACGTTCATTGGCTTTAAAAGTTTACTCGGATGAAAGTTGTTTTGTGTTGAAATTTGATTCAACAGCAGTGGCTTCTGCGAACCGAGAGAAGCCTCTATACATCTCTGGCGATGATTCGAATAACTTTGAGAACCGAGTAAAATTCAAATCGAATTGTTTCAGGAGAATACACGAATACAACGTGATTATATCTCGTCGCCTTTTTTTACTTAACACGTAGACGTTCTCTCTCGCTTTTTGTTTCTTTAATCGAGGCTTTAATCGTTAGAACTGTCATCGACGCTGGTAATATCTGGGTCAGGGTAATATCAAAGGCGAAATCTCGAGCTCGTTAACGTTTAAGCCCTTTGTCTAATTGAATATCGTTTGCCTATTGATCCGAAGCCAGTATCTCGACGTCTTCGATTAACTACGAAGATTATGATGGCTTTGCTGCGGTAACTGCAGAGTCTTTCTAGTCCACGAGAACACGCATCGCTGTCGAATCGAACTTTATCAATGTTTCTCAATGTTCAGCCACCGGCGAAATAATAAATAATTTTCACAATGCGGAAATTTTCGCAAACGTTTTGCGTTTCGTCTATCGCTCACACGGTGCAAATAATTGTTGCATTTTCTCGAATGTTTCTCATTCTGCTCAACGAGCGGCCGTCCGTGGTGACATCAGCGGTTTTCGATTAGCTTACGTAAGAGCGAAACGCCGGCAAGCTAATCCTGAATAGAAATTGTCTGTCGAAATTGTTTGCCTTCGAGTCACGGCATGTAATAAAGGTGTATTCCTATCCGGCTGAATTCCATTACGCATATATCTTCGGCGTGCTTCTGCAGACGTAGCTTCGCTATCACGAAATCACTGGCTGTCTCCGGCGGATCCATCTAAGGAGGACATTATGCCAGCGGATGAACTTCTGCCGAATACGAAATCAAATTAATCTGCCGGACAAAGCTTGCGTATCTCTTAGATCTCTTCCTTTAGTACAGCGCATAAAATTTGCCAATGGCATAGCGTAGTGACGAGACGGCAAAACGAAGTCTGGGGAACATAATTCATAAATTAGATTTAACTCTAGAACTACCAAAATGGTTTGCAATTTTCGTTGGATATTTTACAGATCAGATTGGATATTTTATTTAACAGTGTGTTTTTAGAGATTAGACTGGAACTATCAA